GTTTTACCGATTTGATAGATTTGTTATAGAAATGGGTAGTTTATACTATTAAGAAAAACTACCAATTTCTATAACAAATCTATCAAATCGGTAAAACTAAAAATCAACATTTCATTCCCCCCGCCCCAAGCACAAAGTCCAGAAGTGATTTGCAGGTAGAAACAAAAGTAATTGTGTTTTTTCTTTTATCAAAATAGTCAATTTAGCCATCTTTGCTAATTCCATCAGCTTTTGCAGCCATTGGTCCATTATGGGAATTGTTCTTCCATTTTTGTGCATAAAATAATCTTGCTGCCGTCAACATATATATAACATCAAAGTTCCAAATTTTTCCCAGTAGTCTTTTCCCAGTAAACCCAAAAGCAAAGTTTCTGGTTTTTTCTTTATATTCACTTTAAGAATATTCTGTATTAGAATATGAATCCCTACTGCAATATTTCTTTACTTTATCACATGTCCCATCATACAGTTACTTTGATTTGTGATTGCAGATAACTTCTGGAATGGTGATCAGTACTTTCGTGTCTGCCCCCATCATGTATGTTTCCGCGTGGCTACTGACCATTCCCTCTATGGATCCAGACAGACTCTCAGCAGCAATTCAGAATGTTAGTTTTGATATTAGCATTGTTAGTCTGGTCTCTCTGGTGAGTAATCACGTTAATCAGAACTGTGCTGCTCTGTGTTTAAAAGACGGGGAGGAAAATGAAAGAATCGATGCTAATAGTTCCATTTAAAACAGGTTCTGTAGCAGTGGTTCTTAAACTGGGAATAATTTGGGCATATCCTGGGCATGATGGAGCAAATTGCTTATTGTGCGTCAGAGATGCAGCTTGGATTAAATTACTTGTAAATATGTACAGTACGCAATTGTGCCACTGGTTTCTATTTTAGTCTGTTGCCTGAAGAGAAGCCGAGTAATAGACACTAGCTATCCCAATTATGTTATCAGCCTCTTAAGTTAGCCCAGGTCAAAGAATAGTCATGGCAAGAATCATCTTATTGCTTATAAGATACATTCGCAGAATCTTGCAAGCCTGTTCAAAACCGTCATTGTCCTTTATGTCAGAGCAATAAAATGAGGCTGCAGCTGTTCCTGAATCTCTCTCTCATGCTTTCTACTTTGCAAACATTTCCCTTCCTTCTTCTTTCCAAAGACCACAAATATTTTTTAAAGAAAAAAAACAGATATGGGGATTAATGTGTTAGAAAAGGAGAGGGGAGGTTCGGATTCTGTCAGCCTTTGAAGCTCATTGGTTTATTTTGAACCAATCATTCTCTCTTATTCAGGCTGAACTACTTTACCGGATTATTGTTGTTGGGGGGAAAACTGCAGGGAATGCAATATACATTGTCTTGAACTCCTCGTGAAATGGAATATAATAAGTTAATGAATAACTCAAATATAAGACTTTGAAGAATATTAACAAACATAATCACGATGATAAATTGCTACCATAGATTTTGGTTTGGTTTTTTTTATAATTGTCACACAATTCATGCTGCGTTTCTCTTATGTTATGCATCATCCTGGTCTTTATGAGAAGAAGAAAAAACATTATTGAATGTGACAAGGCATCCTGGTTAGGAGGCAACAAAAGGCAGAAAAGAAGAGAAATTGAAGAGGGTTTTTTCCCCTCCTTTTCTGTTCAACAGTTTTTTGAAAGAAGCTCTTCTCTTGTACCCACAAATGGTCTTCTGTCTTATGTGACTGACAGCACAACAGATGAATGACTTTTTTGGGAGGGGAAATCTTGTGTTTCACAATAGAATAAGGTCAATTCCACTCAGACCCTTTCCCAGTTAAGCAGTCGCTTGTCTTATTAAGGAACAAGTTGTACACTATTTCACTAACGGGTGAAAAACAAACATGTTCAGATTATTAAATAAGGAGCTTCTTTGGTCAAGGGGGGAAAAAGTCAATGTTTATTGCATTCTGTTCCCCTACTGCTTTTCCCCCCCTCCTTAGAGTTTTCAGTTTTGGGGGTGAAGATTGTTGCCTGGTGCTAAAATTTACAACCTTGAACTCTTTATCAAGCTAGTGGAAGTCATCTCCCAGAGATGAAGGGCTAAGGCTGTGAAACTGGAGGTATAGTATAGTGTCTCTATTTTTAAGGGTTTGATAATTAGCTAGCTTAGACAAAAATGAGAATGTCAACACAAAGAGGAGACTGATTTTCAGCTCCATTCTAAGGGTAGGTGAGCCCATTATGGAAATATCACTAATGCCAAGGAAAATCCCTTACCAGAAATTGCACAAAATATTTGAATGTTACTGAAATAAAATCCTGAGTGGAATATTTTATAATTATTTAGGAGAAGTGAAAGCCTTACATTGTGTTCACTCTGTTTTTCAGATCTGGTCCCTCGGGGTTATTCTCTTGAGTAAAAAATACAAGCAGCTTCCTCATATGCTTACAACCAACTTACTCATTGCTCAGGTTAGTGAAATAGAGAATTATATCCGTAAATATGTCCCCCCCCTCCACAAGAATGGTTATTTTGTAGTTTGCAGACAGCATTACTTTTTTTTACAGAAGGTACACAATGCAAGCACTCTGCTCTAGCAGATTTTGACTTTGTTATTGCCTTTGAATTACATCTGTTTTATATTGGGTGCGTGATGGAAGAATGTGTGATGCCACTTTGGTGTTTTTTAAAAAAAGCTGCTATAGAAAAGTTGTGAATAAAACTAAACATTAAGCTACCCTGTTTTCCCAAAAATAAGACACCTCTGGATAATAAGCCCAATCAGATTTTTGAGTGTATGCACTAAAATAAGCCACCCCCTGAAAATAAATCCTCCCCAAAAATATTCCAACAGAGCAGCTGCCATGAGGTAGCCACACTCACCTCTTCCTGCACCTCAAAAATAATAAGACATCCCTGAAAATAAGGCCAATTGCTTATTTCAGGGTTCAAAAGAAAATAAGACCTATCTTATTTTGGGGGAAATATGATAGCTCAAAGACAGGTGTGGTATTGAGTTACTTTCCCTTAGCAGTTCACAAAGGTGAGTGTATGTGCATCCATGCTCGGCCTTCCACGCATGCAATTTGACCATACGCAGGACTTGCAGGCATGTGTGCGGGTTGAAAATGTGCCTAAATAGGACGGCGTATAGCCGGGCAGGTGGATGAGCCCACCAGCTGAATACCACTTCTGCTCAGAGATCACCCAGGATTCTACATAGACATCCATGATGGGATTTTCAAAACGACACCATTAATAACAACATGGGTGGTGTGAATTGGCTTGCAACAGACAGCCCTGGGATCTAACTTCCAAGCTCTGTACGAAGGAGGCCATGTTGTTTTCTCAGCCACGATGTGCGGCTTCGAATGCTGCAGGTGATTACAGTTTAGCCTGCTGCAGGCAGTTGGGGTTTGTTTAACAAACCAGGGCTTAGCAAAAGCCCCGCGGAGGAGCTACGGAATGCAGGTGGAAGCTTG